CATATAGTCCCTACTGTGTATTCTAACGCGCGGTGACATGGTTTCGCGTGTGTTATAGAGATTTGAACGTCAGGGATGTCTAATGGATTTCATAAAGAAAATTACACTGAATGTAAATATTCCCTTATAAATTTGCGAAGTTGAAGTGTTTTTTTTTGTCCGATTTTGCAAGCTATGCTATAATTCTTTGTATTTTACTTGTAAAATATATTTCTTTTGGAAAATCATTAAGGTTCAAGCTACATTTTATATGAGTGAGCAGAGTTTATGAACCTTAAGAAAATAATCAGTCTAAAGAATTTTTTTAAATGAACAATTGAAAACCAGGTACAAAAAAGTAAATTCATTTTGTTAATTGTTAGGGTTTTAAAATAAAAAAAAAATTGAAGACTATATAACCATTTTTATTCTCGCATCATTTCTTCAGTATATCTTCTGAGGAAATGATATTTTATATATATAATTTATATAAATAAATTCATAGAAGTTTCCGTCTGCGTTCACCTTCTTATCTATCAATCAGTCAAGCTCAAGGGTTCCCGAGTAACATCACTATATATATATAATTTTGCAAAATAACGCGGAAGTTACGCCTTTATTCACGATAGATTCGTGTTAGTTACGAGTTTATTCGAGAAATTATCGCGTTATAACGCGAAAGTTACCCGTTTATTCGCGTTAGTTACACATTAATTCGCGAAAGTTTTACGTTAATTCACGAAAGATACGCATTTTAACATGAAAACATTTTTTTTTCATCTACGAAGCTTTCGAAACCAATTAAGCTCATTTTTGTAGGTTAAAAAATATTTTTTTTGCGTTATATCACAAAATTTTCAAGAATAAACGCGTTACTTTTGCGTCATAACGCGAAATCTTTAAGGAATCAATTTAAAAGCTACAAATTTTATACGATATAAACAAGGTTGGGGCAGTTTACGCTTTATAAACCGCGAAGCGGTTTAGAAACAAGAGGCCCAGGGGCAACATCGCTCACCTGAGCAAAGGATGTATTCGCTTTAACAAAAGAATTGACCTATAGGAGAGAACAATTTCCCGGAAAAAGTGACATTTAAAAATCAGTCTTTATTTGTTGTTTTTCTACCGTATATATGTCTAATTTTTTTAAATTTGTATTTTATACCTAAAATTTATTATTTACAACTTTACAATAAACCTCCAAAGTTGATCGAAACACCATTTTGTCCTTGAAAGCGTTGATTTTTGCATGAATTTTGGCCTTGAAGTCCATCAGGGCAGGCTTGCCCCTAAATAAAATTGTGATATTTTGATAGGTTAGGATGTAAGGAATAATTTAAGATAAGATTTTTTTAGGGGCACCCCTGCCCTGGGGTCGAAATTCACAAAAAACCTACAAAAAATAAGGAAACCAGATTTTCATACTGTAAATCACTTTTTATTCGCGAGAACTTTATTTTCGCGTAATTTCGCAAGACAGCGAGCACGCGAAAATTTCATTCTCGCGTATAATAGTATTCTTTAGGATTATAAAGAGCAAGAACCACAATTCGTGAAAATTTTGTCTCGCTTATAAAGAGTCAATGACTATCTCGCGAAAATAAGGTGTCGCGAAAATTTAGTGATCTACAGTAATCTGCTTTAAATTTATGCCAGTCATTTTTATAGTCAGACTAGCTCAATTGATAGATGCGCTGACTTTTATACCTTGGATCCTCTCTTTTTAAAGTCGGGGGTTCGAATCCACCTGGTATAACACTTATAAAGTTTTAAATTTCGCCTTTTCAAAGACTATTTTAATTTTTTTTTCATAGACTTGTGTATTTTTCCGTCAATTTTCTATCCCTTATGCATGCTCATTCTTGATATAAGATACACTAAAGAGATATCAAATCGTAACAATCCAATGTACAGTTGTCAGTCAGGTGGAACGAACCTTAGTATAGGCACACTTTCTCCGAGGACAAGAATAACTCACTATGTGTTACTCAATACGGGTATTCTTGGAAGCATTGAGCTGCGATGAATTTCAATTGTATATATTCCTTAGAATTTAATCACATTGATTTTGGCTACATATTTCAGTAAATGCACTCCCTTGGATTTCATTTATGCCTTTATAATTTGTACACATTAATGACAAGTTTTTATTATACCCACGGATAAATAGCCTAGACAAAAAGAATAGAATTTCAGAGACAGTAGACATTACCTTTACGCACAAAGAGAAGTAAAGACAAATATTAATTATTACATTTGGAGATAACAAACTAAGAAAATCAATAAAAAGGGTTCCTCCTATCTCTACTCACTGAAATAAAGATTTAGGAAAAACAAATTGTTATATGTATTCAGCCTAATGTCATTAATCAGAACGGATATCGACAAGCTTTTTGTAGAGAATAAAACCAAGCCCGGTCCTATAGGTCAGATCCCTATTTACAATGAAGTGATCCTTGGCTAGGAAAAAGCACAAATCAGAAGGGAAGGGGGGGGGGGGGGCTTGAATTTTAATAAATGTACTACTTGAGATTGCCTTCATATTAATACAGCATATGACTTTGCTGTTCTTGATAAAAAGATTTTTTTAAACATTTTCTTCCTATACATAACTTTATAATAATTTGAATTTGATTCCCCATTGTTTCCCTCCCTACCCCAAAGGGCCATGATTTGAATAATTTAAATCTTCAATACATGAGGATGCTTAAATGTCAATATGACTAAACATAGCTTTTCTGTTCTTGGGATTTTTTCCCTTTATTTTTCTATGTAAAACTTTGATCCACCATTGTGGGTTATGATTTGAACAAATTTAATTCTACACTACCCAAAAATGCTTCCATATAAATACTAGTATTACTAATCATGGCTTTGCTATTCTTGAGAAGATTTTTTTTTAAATTTTAATGTAAAACTTGGATCCCCCATTGTGGTCCACCCTATCCCTGAGGGTTATGATTTGAACAAACTAGAATCTACACTACCTGAGGATGATTCCACATAAATATCACTAATCATGGCTTTGAAGTACTTGAGAAGACGGTTTTAAAAGATTTCCCTAATGAGTATCTAGTCCTACTTAGAACTTTGATCAGCCATTCTGTCCCCCCCCCTTCCCTACCCCCAGGGATCATGATTTGAACAAACTTGAATCTACACTACTTGAAGATGATTTCACATAAGTTTCATCTTTCCTTGCCCAGTGGTTCTTGAGAAGAAGATTTTTAAGGATTTTCCCTATATACTCCTATGTAAAACTTTGATCGGCCATTGTGGCCCCACCTTACCCCGGGGGGCATGATTTGAACAAATTTGAATCTACTCTACCTGAAGATGATTTCACATGAGTTTCATCTTTCCTTGCCCAGTGGTTCTTGAGAGGAAGATTTTTTAAGATTTTCCCTATATACTCCTATGTAAAACTTTGATCGGCCATTGTGGCCCCACCCTACCCCCGGGGGTCATGATTTGAACAAATTTGAATCTACACAACCTGAAGATGATTTCGTGTATGAATTTCATCTTTCCTGGCCCAGTGGTTCTTGAGAAGAAGATTTTTAAAGATATTCCCTATATAATCCTATGTAAAACTTTGATCGGCCATTGTGGCACCACCCTACCCCCAGGGGGTCATGATTTGAACAAATTTGAATCTACACTACGTGAGGATGCTTCCACATGAGTTTCACCTTTCTTGGCCCAGTGGTTCCTGAGAAGAAGATTTTTAAAGATTTTCCCTATATACTCCTATGTAAAAAACTTTGATCGGCCATTGTGGCCCCATCCTACCCCAGGGGGTCATGATTTGAACAAACTTGAATCTACACTACCTAAGGATGCTTCCACATGAGTTTCATCTTGAAAATCCTGTCCCAGTGGTTCTTTAGAAGAAAAATGCCATTAATTTTTCACTTATTCATAATTATCTCCCTTTCGAAAAGGGCTTGTCCCTTCATTTGAACAAACTTGAATCCCCTTTACCTAAGGATACTTTGTGGCAATATTGGTTGAAATTGGCCCAGTGGTTCTTGACAAGAAGATGAAAATGTGAAAAGTTTACGCCGACGACGACGACAACGACGACAACAAACAACGGACAAATTGTGATCAGAAAAGCTCACTTGAGCCTTCGGCTCAGGTGAGCTAAAAAGCGTAAACTGTGCCAACCCAGTTTATACCGTATAAAATGGGTAGCTATTAAATTCATTGCTTATGATTTAATTTTCATTCATTTGATGTAAGGAAAACATGATTGTTCTAACAAAATGAATTTAATTTGTACAAAATTTGATTGTAACGTCAGGCGCAATGATACGTTTTTGACGAAAGTCATTGTGACGTAGGCAACCCATTTTACACGATAGAAAGTAAATTTTTTATCCAATCAAGTACAGCGTTACAACCAGAATTAAATTATTCGCGAATAAACACGTAACTTTCGCGTTATAACGCGTTACTTTCGCTATTAAAAGCTTAACTTTCGAGTTATAAATCAAGTTTTTTTTTTGTTTGATTTAATTTGTCTGTTTTCCGTTAAATAATTTCGTTCCGCTTTCTGTTCTGTTTTCCGTTCCGTGTTTTACATGTACATGTAGCAACACCCCCCTAAATACGCTAATCATCTTTCATAAGTCTAGTGTTTACTGACAGTTCGAATTCATGTGTACATAAAATTACAGGATCATGTTTATATTAAATGCACTTTTGCAAGCAGAAGAAAGTTTGTACAAACCACAGGTAGGCGAAATCGGGAAAACCCTCTCAACATACAAATGGGTGTACTTTGTGTATACATGTCCTGTTCCTCTTCAAATGTCGTCTAAAGTTATATTTTGTATGACATCCCCGATCCTCTGTCATCAACTAAAAACAATGTTTATTTGTTTCTTCATTTCAAGGATAATACAGTGTATTTTTTTTTTATTTTTAGCACTGTGTTGATATTTTTTAAGAACTGTGTTGGTTTCATTTATAAACACTGAGTTGGTTTTATTTTTAGTTGGTTTTATTTTTGGCACTTCTTCTGAAAATCCAAAATTCTTACATTTATTTAACAAACTATACCCAGACTGTGAGGTATGTATATATATGTAAGGATTTCTAAAATTTTATTTGTGATTTGAACAATTAATTAAATATCTTAAATACTTCAACAAAATAAGGCATGAAAATTAATCTATAAAAGTCAAGGATCATGGTGTTTAGAGTGGAGGTATAACAAAAATTACAGAGAAATGGTTTTTTGATGGAAAAGAAATTGAAATTGTACTATTTTACAAATACCTAGGATTATATTTTACAAGTAAAATGTCATGAGAACTGACAAAGAGTTTCTGTGTGTGTCAGCGGAAAAAAGCATCGTTTATTGTGAAGATATACAATGCATCATATAAACAAATTAAATCTTTTGCATTATTGATAGAATGATTGAACTAATTTTGACTTATTGTGCTGAAAAGACTCAAGAAGAATCCACCTGAAATAGTTGTACTAGGAGAACTGGAGAGATATTCTCTTAAGGTACAGTACTTATTAAATTGAAATTTATTGCATATTGGTTAAAGATACTTTGTTTGTCCAAGATAATAGATACCCAAAAAGATGTTACTCATTTTTAATTCAGTTAAACAAAGTCGGTAGAATTAGAGGTAACTGGGCATCAGAAGTGAAGTCAATGTTAAAACGTTATTTAGATATGGTTTCCACTATGTATGGCTTTATCAAGGTGAAGGTGCTAATGTATTATTTTTAAAAGAGTTTGTACAAAGAGTTCAGGATAACTATGCGCAGAAAACGCACTCCTCACTGAGCTCTTATCAGGTAAACAGGTCCAACATACTTGGATCTATATCCAAAGCGGAAAAGCCCAAATTATTTGTAAATATTTACATCCACTGAATATTTTCTCCTTTATTTCTTCAGAAAACCCATTGCGTTAATCACTACATGAACTACATTAGGCATGTCGCCTGTACAGATTTCTTGATCAGTGGCTGTTCCATCAATAAAACGTACAAAGACGTTCGCATCATTAATATAATAATCCTTCTTTAAATGGTTCTTTAAACGGATATAAATATAAACAATGAAATGTCTTTCTTTGTTTGTTATTACTGGTATTAATGGTCGCATGCTATTGCCGAAAAAATTTACATAACCCGCGTGAATCCGCTCACGCGGGTTATGTATTTTTTCTGCAACAGCTACTTCCGTTAATTCCAGTAAAAACAAACAAAGAAAGCATTTTATTGTTTAAATTTAACAACTGGAAAATCAAAAATAGGGTCTACCGTGCAAAATCTGATTTCAAAGATCAAGGCAGCGAAAGCAAAATTTTTATTTCTGAGGACCTTACTCGCTCTTGACGACAAATCATTCAAGCACTATCCAAGGCGCGATACTACAAATATAGACTCATATTGGACCAATGACGGAAGAATATTTGTAAAGGAGACTGAGGACTCGCCCAAAATCTTGATAAATCACCTCAGTGACAGTGCCTGCTTCCTACCAGAAGTTGACCACGTCAGTGATGATGAGGCTTAAAATCAAGTAAAATGTATTAACTGCTATTATCCCCAAATTACTAAAAAATACTTCTAAGAGATTAAAAAAGTAATTAAAACAAACAGGGATATTTTTTTTTTACGAACACTTGCAATACTGAATTTGTATGATTGTATATTTTCTAAATATGTACATTTATAATTTACATATGAACACACATTTATCCTACCTCCCTTCTAACTTCTTTACATGCCCATAATTTGCTCTGGGTTCTAACTGATTTTTTATGCGGTCCCATATTCTTCAACTTTTCTCCATGTCAATACTTCATGTTTCTTTCTACATGTATCTCACTTTTCACCCACTTTATCATTGCGCTATAGCTCCTCTTGACTCTTTGGTTACCCCAGCGTTACGCGGTATGAATGAAGTCGACAATCCTGTCTGCCGTCGCTGCACGAATAACACCCTTCTTCACTACTTTAGATTTGACGTCTTAGATCATGGGTAATGATCTTTTGACATATCATGCGGCGATTGGAAAATACTACTCTGTGTGTCACAAAATAATCACCCGGAGAAAAATATTTTTATTTTAAAAATCGGCAAACTGACAAAAGAAATATTGCTCTTCTTATTTTAAAAGGTTGTAAACTTAATCAAGAAAAATATACTGACCATTCATTATACTTATGACTCTGCTTTTGTTATGTAATGATATTGCGGGAAAACCTTGGTCCAGAGCTAAACGTAACTGGTTTGTCCATCTTTCATCTAAACTGTAGGAGTATACGACTGTCACACAAATTAGACAAGATAACTAATTACATTGATTTGAACGATATTTTGTGTTTTACCGAGACTCATTTGTGGACTCCTAGGTCTCCCTAGACTATTTGCAGATGACACGTCTGTGTCAAACACCTCCAAAAACTTACAGGACTTGGATTAACTAATCATGATTTAGGAAAAATTAATAAATGGTCAAAAACTGGCTTGTAAAATTTAATCCTGATAAGACAGAAATATCAATATTTGGTTGTAAAGAAAATGAAGTATCCAATTTACGTTTTAAGTTTGACAATCAAGAAATAGTCCCATCTTCTAATCACTGTCATCTTGGACCTATGATCTCAAATTCTGGTAAATGGACAAATCACATCGATAACATTATTAAAAAGACTTCAAAAGAAATTGCAGTTCTTGGTAAATTGAAATTATCATTGAATCGAGACTTTTTGACTAAGATGTATATTACATTTATTAGACAAATATTTGAATATGCATAAGAAGTATGGGATACCGGTATTTCTGCAGCTGACTGTGATAGGCTGGAGAAATTACAATGTCACTGGCCTTCCTATTTATGTTCCTCGTAAGTATCTGTACTATGATACAGGATGGAAAACACTTGCCTATAGACGGGAAAAGAGAAAATTATGTTTAATGTATAATATAAATTTTTTAAACATGGTATCGCGCCAGAGTATTTATTAAAACTATTTCCTCCTGATATCTCACAAACTAACCACCATGACTTACGAAATTGCAACAATATTTCTATTCCCCAATGTAAAACAACCTTATTAAAACCAGAAGTCTCTGTCGAGACTGAAGCTCTACTGGTTTGTACTTATAACAAATGAAGACAAAAGTAGCAGTTGGGACTTAAAACTTTACAACAGCAATAAATAAAATAATGATGCTTGATTGAGCTCTTTTTGTGGCAAGATACTACAATAAGACTACAGCTGTAGAAGTAGCTATTAATAAACTTTTAGAGTATTTACAGTTTTAGTAACCATGGCAACATCATTCCTCGAATTCAAAAATCGATAAAAAGAATTGTGTATCTTAGTGTAGTCTACTCGTGTGCCAAGTTATATTAAAATCAGACCAAAACTGTAGGAGGAGTAGCATTTTGAAAGCATTTCAGAGAAATTTCTATTTTTAGAAACAAAGGCAATACCGTTCATCGAAATCAAAAATCGATACACAGAATTATGTATCTTAGTATAGTCTACTTGGGTGCTAAGTTATAATGAAATCAGACCAAAACTGTAGAAGGAGTAGCATATTGAAAGTATTTCACAAAAATTTCTATTTTTAGTAACTACGGCAACACCGTTCATTGAAATCTAAAATGGATATATAGAATTATGTATCTTAATGTAGTCTACTTGTGTGCCAAGTTATATTGAAATCAGACCAAAACTGTAGGAGGAGTAGCATTTTGAAAGTATTTCACAGAAATTTCTATTTTTAGTAACAAAGGCAACACCGTTCATCGAAATCAAAAATCGATACACAGAATTATGTATCTTAGTGTAGTCTACTTGTGTGCTAAGTTATATTGAAATCAGACCAAAACTGTAGGAGGAGTAGCATTTTGAAAGTATTTCACAGAAATTTCTATTTTTAGTAACAAAGGCAACACCGTTCATCGAAATCAAAAATCGATACACAGAATTGTGTATCTTAGTGTAGTCTACTTGTGTGCCAAGTTATAATGAAATCAGACCAAAACTATAGGAGGAGGAGCGTTTTGAAAGTATTTCACAGAAATTTCTATTTTTACCGTGACAACATTGTTCATTTAAATCACAAACAAATGTACAGAATTATGTATCTTAGTGTAGACTACTTGTGTGCCATGTTGTTGTATTGAAATCAGACCAAAACTGTAGGAGGAGTAGCATTTTGAAAGTATTTCACAGAAATTACTTTTTTTAGTAACCACGGCAACACCGTTCATCGAAATCAAAAATCGATACACAGAAGTATGTATCTTAGTGTAGTCTACTTGTGTGCCAAGTGATATTGAAATCAGACCAAAACTGTAGGAGGAGTAGCATTTTGAAAAAAAATGTTTACAGACAGACAGACAGACGTACAGACGGACGGACGCCGGACGCATTACTATCGCATAAGCTCTTCTGGTCTCTGACCAGTAGAGCTAAAAATCATTCTTTCCATTCACAATATCACTATTGAATACTTTGCCTACAGAGAAAACCTCGATACTGTAAATGCTTTAAGAGAAAAGACTTTTTAAAGGTGAACATCCCCCAAAACATTTTTCTTGTGGTGATAAAAAACAAACTCAATTTTAACAAGAATGAGACACAATGTAAGTATTCTTAAGTCAGATTTATTTAAGGTTAAACTTTCAGATTACACTCTGTTCTTGTGGATATACAATGTATTAATGAAAACACTGAACACTTCTTCTTGTACTGTAAAAATTATGCTGAAATTAGAATTATTATACACTAAACAAAATAACAACGGAGCAATAGACCTTGACACTATCTTATTTGGGGACCCAAATTTGGGTCAACAAAATAATATCAATATTGCTAAAGCTGTACATAAATATATTAAAAAATCAAAAAGATTTTATGAATAACCAGCGTAACCATTTAGTATCTTTTACTACCCCCTTTTTATTTCTTCTCTCCTTGCACTCCCATTCCCTTCCTTTCTTATCTCTCTGCACCCCCTTTCTTCTTCTTTTTATGCGCCCGGATCGATAGATCCAGGGCATATATTGTTTCTGTCCTGTCTGTCTGTTTGTTTGTTTGTTTGTCTCGAACTTGAACCTTCGCCATAACTTTTGAACCATGAAAGATAGAGACTTCATATTTGGTATGCATACTCCACTAGTCAGTTTCTCTCAAATGACACCAAGATCAATGACCTTGTGACCTTGACTGTGACCTATATGCTAAAAATATTTTTTTTTAACTTTGTTGCCGCCGGACGCATAGTGTTTCACAAACACATCTTGATTTTTTAGGTCACCTGAGTCACTCAGGTGACCTATTGCTATCTGTTTTCGTCCGTCGTCGTACGTCGTTCGTCGTCAATCGGTCGTAAACTTTTGAACATTTTCAGCTTCTTCTCTGCAACCACAGAGCCAATTTCAATCAAATTTGGCACCAAGCATTTATAGGTGAAGGGGAATAGAAATTGTGAATTTCATGATCCCTGCCCCCCCCTAAGGCCTGGGG